TACACTGCTCTTGACGGTTGTCTACTTTTGTCACGACGTACTACGACGTGCAACGGCTGACATGAAGTAATCAGTACACACTACTCTCCATCGCCTGGCATGTTGATCCAGCATCGACCATGATTTCTTACGATGGACGAAGCGTCGGAGGTGTCTGCAGCACTGTGGGGATTAGAGTCATAGGAATCATGACCCAAATTGGGCCCCGCTCCCACCTGTTTCGTGGGCATGACCTGGCCGTGCCTTGTGGATGTTCGGTCTCGCGCCTTCGCCTCCTCTGTGGTCAAACTTGTACGGACTGATCCTGAGCGTCGCGGGCTCTCAACACCGTCGTCTGAGTCATGTGGAGTCTCGATCTCCGGCCAAATGCTCTTCTCATGCCCTCCAGCCCACCGCTGCACAGTCGAAGAACATATCCTAGATGCCTCACTGCCTTCTCAGGCTAAAGCCTCAACTGACTGGGAAGTCTTCCAAGAACATGTATGACCTTCATTATTTCGTAAGGTGGAACTGAGAAACCTTCTACTTTGTGGCTTGGTGCCCTGCCTCAATCGTCATATCGCTGAGGCCCATGTGCTGGACACCCGAAACTGATCCCTCAATCACACAACTAAAGAGATGCAGTAGGTATTGACAGAGAAGTGTCAGCAGAGAAGCATCTAGGTTATCCGGCACGCAGAAAACATGATATGAGGCTTTCCCAGACTGGTGCCTTTATCCGATCTTAGGCGAGTTGCTACAGGAATGGTCGAGGTTCCGATTTAGGCCCTTGCTGTCAGATGACATCAGATGACCAATATTATGCAAGCATTGATCCCAAATAGTGAGAGAGCACCTAGCATTCCAAGCCGTGCATACCTAAGAACTGTTTCAAGAGCACAAATGCACATGGTCACCACACTTTGGTAGAAGCACGATTATGGAAACCCCAACACCGTTTTGGAACTTTGTTCCTCCTGTTGCCGGGACGTTGCACACGGGGCAGCCTAAGACAATAATTAAGCGATTTGCAAGAACAGCTGCACCCTCACATGCATTCATGGCGTCACAACGAATCAAGAACCACATCGAGATGCGGAACGTGCTGGAAGCGAAAGCGGTGTCTACTATACTCTGTGAAGGCCATGACCTGATAAGGCGGCCAGTCTTCACATTAACCAGACTAATCTCGTACCTGGACATTGGACATTCAGGTGGTCACGTCAGTTTTGATGCTGCAGTGATGCTGCTTCTTGGCCTAGCCGGGATCGACACAAATCGAAGTGTAGTGAGCCCTGCATGTGTTTCAAACGAGAGGGTCAGGGGGTAGATCTTGACGTAACCTGCACCGGTCAGCCCGAACCTTGAGCATCCCAGCTGTTCTCGTTCATATCCCTCCCCGCAGGCGGAAGGGAAGTTTCACTCATGTGCCAGTGTGGTGACGGTGTCACGTCCGAAGCAAGCAGCCGAGTGCAAATGTCCGGAAGTTGGATGAGGTTTGCGAAGCAAATTTTAAATGTTGGCGAATACTCCGAAGCACGCAGTTGCAAGTCCGGCCGTGCAACGATGCGTCAAGGCTCTCTATCGTCTGCTGGGTGTGGCCATGATACCTGGCAATCTACGAAACAGGGCAGAGCGAAGTCCTTGAACAATCGCATGCTCTCGCTACTCCGAGGCTGGCACCCGTGGTCGACCACGATGATATCGCGAGAGCTTGTCCCTGGTTCGGTCATTCATGATACAGGAGGAGAAGTGTGTGAGACACAGGCGGGAGAATGCCAGACGCACCGCCAGATCATTCGCCTGGCAACAAGATCGAGAGAGAGAAAGAGAGCTCGCGAACAAACAAAGGCACACAACGACTCTGAGCACTCCTCGGAGCCAGAGTTCACGAAGAAGCACACCTGCAGATTTCATCCGCAAGAAACGCTCTTTCAACTTTCGGCTTCCCTGTGTTTCTTCGCTGCCTCCAAGCCGCTTCCGGCAGGAAAAGTCTCCGTCAAGCGCTTTGCCAGCAGGCAAAGATTCGGATGCAAATACCTCTTCAACTGGCAACACATTAATCTTGGAATCGAAAGGCTTCGCGTAAGGCCCTGCAGGTCCTCGTGTTCGTATTGAGTGTTGCAGCCTGCTCTGCGACCGCAGCAGCTACCTTCGGGTGACAATGTCCCACCTTCAAAGGAAGAAGACACTGCCAGCAACAGAAAAGGTGCAGGAGTTGGCTCAGAGCTCGGCGTGGCACACGTTGTTTCTCGTGTCGAGGTACCTCACGTTCGACCGTGCTGGGATACAGCCCTGGAACATGGTGCAGGACTGACAAGGGCACGAGTTGCCTTCCTGATCATACAGGTGGCTGCCCTGACCACGAACGATGAGGAGCCTGCGACATGACGCACAAATAGGTCAGATTGCTACTGATGAAAGAGAAGCGAACTTTGGCCCTGGCGGATTTGTGTTAGCATACGAGACGCTTTGAGCAGGGCAAAAGTGCTTCTTGCGCAACTGCCACACCTCATCCTTGCAAGAGCAGGACCCATCTGTACAGTGCAGCAGCAACAGCCTACGGCATCGGTTCTCCCACCTTACTCAATGCCGCAGCCTCCGCAGCCTGCACGCACGACTTCTAAGGTCTGACCGCAGTATGCAGTCAGTCTAAACTTGAGCCTGCGACTGCATACTCAGAAGAGCGCCCATGACTAGATAGCCACGTCAGGTCACATTATGGCTTCACACGATGACAGCCTATCGCAGCGAAGCAGCAAAGTATGCGGCTCGGGCAGTTGCGGCTTCACTGGCCCACTCAAATGCCAACAACATACAGTCGGAACCGACCGCACAATGCTCGTCCATGCAAATCTAGTGGTGCTTGAACTGAACTCAGAAATCTGGGCTACCTCGATCACAGTGCAGATGATTGCTCGAACAATCCCTCGGAGCGTAGTGAAACACATCCGCAAACACTCGATCTGTGCCAGAGAGTATCACCCACAGCAGGTTTCATGGGAAGTGAGCAAACCAGTCGTAGAGTCACCAGGCACAGAAAACTGCAGTTTCGCGAGTGGGGACGTCCAGCCTGGAACACCCACAGCACTACGTGCGCCGCCGGCTACGGCTTCGTGTGAGCACGCGGTCAGAACGATCAACATTCAATGCAAAAGATCGGGGAAGAAAGATGAAACAACACTGGAATTCGGTACGAAGCTGCAAACGCCTAAGGGAAGCCTCAGCCCTCTTTCTATCTGGCTTTGATGTTTCTTGAGGAAACATGTGGATTCCAGACTGGCACATCCCAGACGGCTTCGAGCTCAAATGCAGGTTGTCCCTTTCTGTGCGTTGTATTTTACTTTTACTATTTCTGGCGAGTTGAAAAGCTACAAGTGTTGATGTGTTCATAGGCTTGCCGACTCACAAACGACGCCTCTTGAAAGCCGGGGTGTCCAAAAGCAAGCATCCGGTAGTAGTAGAAGTAGCAGCAACAGTAGTACTAACAGTAGTAGGTAGTAGAGGTAGTAGTAGTAGTAGTAGTAGTAGTAGTAGTAGTAGTACTAGTAGCAGCAGCAGCAGCAGTAGTAGTAGTAGTAGTAGGAGCAGCAGCAGTAGTAGCAGCAGTAGCAGCAGCAGTAGTACTAACAGTAGTAGGTGGTAGTAGTATTCATTCAGGAGCGTCGCACAATCCGAGTGCATGACGAGGAGGTCAGACCATTTGGTCCGGCTGCTCATGGCAGCTGTGCTATGGTAGCACAACCTGTAAAGCAAGAGCTACTTATGAGCAACTTGCTGTGGCCTACTTGACAACCTACACATGTTCGAAGCAGCCATTGTTTCCTATACTTCAGTCCATCTCTTGCAGAAAATTGGTGCTCGCATGCTCCGTGCCCTCATACTCACATTCATCAGTCAGCTGTCGAGAGGATTCCAGTGAGGAATAGGCTGCACCGCCAATGTGGGCAGAAGATGAAGAGCTGCCCGCTGCCAGCCATACTGAAGCGCTTCCAGTGTGTGAACAGATATTGCCTGAAGCATTCACTGAAGCATCCGTGGAGCTTGAAGCATTCCAAAATTGCGGTGTCACGGCATTTGCCAGCTCCGGGATAGCACAGCCAGGCTGTATGGTAGCCGTAAAATCCAAAGGAGCATCCAAATATGCCGGGGTCAGTGCACCGCCTTGCCCATATTGCTCGTCTATATCCATCGGCCGGGGATCGCTGTTCTGTTGTACAGGCCGCGCAGTTTGCATGGCCACATTCTCAGTCATGATATGTTGTCGTCGCTGACACCCATTGGTATGAAAACTGCCATAGCCAAGAGCACAATCCGAGCAGCACGTCAGGTGGCCAACATTTGCCCTGCGTAGGCAACCAGGAGTTCTACACTCAGTAATCTGAGCTCTTGCCAGCCGCCTTTGTCTCTTCTGGCAGCGACGTGTGTGTGTGCCTTGGATGCAAAGCGAGCAGCAGTGACGATGCAGAAGCTCTGGAAACCATCGCCGACATCCTGGTGTATCACACTGTCGATGCTCAAGACCCATTACACCTGGGCCATTCATTGGCAGCTGCTGCGGCGGCGGCGGGGGCGCCTGCGCAGACGAAGAAGCAGACGAAGAAGCCATGGGCACCTGAGTGAAAGCAGTACAGCTTATAAGACCAGTGAATGACTGACGCAATGCGGTTCGCTGCAACAGTGGTGGGAGCGGCGCGCACTGTCGTCTTTTCCAAGCCATATGCAGGTGCTGGCATTAGAAGCTCAAAGGACCCTACATGGCCCAGTAATCCTCAAGTTTCCCCAACCTGAGGTCGGTTTGGCAGGCAGGCTGCATAGGCTGACACAGGTTATCCGTGGGGTTTAGGGACTACACCACAAAGGCGAGGGCAAGGGCAAGTGGGAGGGCCTAAGAAGCTCCAGCAAGGGTCAGGGTCAGCAGAAGTCTAGGGCGCAAACCGGACAACAGCATGTGCAGCCACTGAGCCACTGAGCAAGGGCTACCTCCACAAAAAGAGTTACAGCTACATCTCTGTCAGCGGTCAGCACAGAACCGTGGGCAATGGCGACTTTACCTGAGCAGCGCTCAAGGGCGTGGTCCCAGTCGGCAGATCGAAGCCAAGCGCGGTAAGGGTATCACGTGCCGGCTGCCTGAGAGTCTGCCAATTTCGAACAGTGTAGCCCACCAGAGTGAAGCGATTGAACCTCCGGGCTCTATCTGATTCGTCTCTTCCCGCATGTAGGCAGAGATGTGCAGGAAAAAGGAGCGCATGATCCATGAGCGAGTGGTAAGTGCCACGTCGCAGCTCGCCCTGATGCTCAAGATATTCCGAGCCCTCTGTGTCCTCCACCCAAAGCCCACTGTTGGGCTGTTGGCTGAGGCTGACGATCAGATTCTCCTGGGGTCCATTCTGGCTGTCTTTGTGTGGCGGAGTGACATAGTCGATGTTGACGGCGATGCTCGTGAAACGATGCTCGGGGCATAGATGCTTGATGAAGAAGGTCAAGAGCCGACAGACGTTGCGGTGGACCAGGGTGGCTTGCAGATGCCCACCAAGGCCCCACGAGCACAGACCCCTATGTGAAAGCTTTGTGCCCGGACTTGATGTTGCATCATCGCTTGCCTCGGCGCCTCATAGTCGAGAAGAGCAACTGTCTGACGAACGGCCTCCCAGAGTGAGCAGTTACCCTGACAAAGCAGAGCCCACGCCAAGTTTTCGGCTCGACTGTATCCCCCACCAGGAAGAGTGTCAGGCGGTGGCATCACAGCAGATGGTGGAGCTGGCAGCGCAAGTGCCAAGGCATCGGAGTAGGCAACAAATTTGCTGTAGTTTGCTGGCTCCAGCATCGCTTGGGCATAGTCAAAGATGTTGTTTCGTGCCGCCACACTGACCGCAGGCGGGACACCCATACCTTGCCAGCCTAACATGTCTGCCAGGCAGGTGGTGAGCAGATACGTTTCCAGTGCATCATAGTAGATGTCAGTTGGAAAAGAAATGCGAGTAGCCATACGGGCTGGTGCCGACCTGGGCACAGCAGAGTGGGACCGACCTGGGTCCTACAAAGCTAGAGCTGCTGCGGGCAAAAGCGTTTGCACTGTACGACGGATATGGAGCAGAAGGCAAGTTACACTGCGCGGAAGCTGAGTACGGCACCGGCACGGCAACGCAGGAATCCTAAGTGCCGACCTAGGCACAGCTCCACGATCGACCTAGATCGCAGAGCGCTCGAACCAGCTGGACACGCAGATGGTGGCAGTGAATGAAAGCTGGCAGTGCATGCGAAACACACGGAAACAGACTGCAAAAGACGGTAAAGACAGTAAAATTTCTGGCTGCAGGGATGCATGTGTGGTGCGCTTCGGCAACAGCATCAGAAACGAGCAATAATTACGCAACTAGGCAAGACGACCGCGGCTTGTGCAGAAAAGGTCGACTCGCCACCAGAGGCTGTTATTCGCGCAGACTTGCGGCGGAGTGGAGCCCGATCAGATAAGCATCCCTCTGAATATGCTGCAGATCTTTAGAAGTAGGGGCACGAGGCACACGCGAATCATTGCAAACCTGGTACTGCCAAGCTCCAGTATGCTTGTCTGATACGTTACACCCCTGATGAAAGACAACCCACATGACATGAAAAGGCTCCCATCTCACCGCATCACTGCATGGCTCAGTGAAGACTGGTAGCCGGACGCATTCACCTGCATGCACGGGCAGTGGACTCCGGTCTTTGGCACTTCCCGCATAACGACACAGTTGCAGCATGACCAGATGAGAGTGAGCAACCAAAGCTTGTCTTGCATATTGCCTGTGCCACGTATCAATCATCGATTGCAGGCCTGTGCTCGGAAAGTGAAGCATCAGTGGGCAGCGAAGGTAACCTGTGTCAGTCACAGTGTGCGGATTGGTGAGGCGCGATTGCCATACACCATCAAAGGCAGAAGGCTGGGCAGCCGCAATCACATGCGTAATGAACTCAGCCACATCTTGCTGCCTGTGTAGGTTGCGCCAGCCACGAAACAAGACCTGAAAAGAGAGGCATGCTGGAAGATAAGGTGCCCCGGCATTGGCAATCACCGACATACCCGCCTGAGCCAGCCCCGAACAGGCCAGTGAATCTGCCATCATGATTCCTGACCAGTAAAGGACCTGCAGCGAAGCATTGGCATAGCAGATATTATCAGGATTATGGAGCCTGGCCATGGGGAGTCTGGGGTCCCCACTGTGCACCTGCCGTGTCGACCTAGACACGGATGCCAGTGGTGGCCGACCTGGGCCACCTACTGGTGTCGCCTCGCCGTCCAGTCGCAGTAGGCCGTGGCTTGGAACGCCGTTTCCAGCTGCTTTGCCAGCTGAGGTCGTTGTCCCCGGTCCGGGCGAAGGCGGCTTGCCACCAGCTTCATGCAGGAACATCCAGATAGTTTTTGGAGTCCTGCGTGGACTGCGGCTGCTGCGGGCGGTCGGAGTCCGATGCTGATCATGAAGGGAACCACTTCGTCGGCCTGGGTCGTGTCCATGGACTTGGTGTTCTTGAAGCCGGTCAGTACTCCTGGTTGGGGCACTGCTTGATTCAACTGGTCCACCAGGGTGAGGACATCCGGGTGCTTCAGTGGCTGTTGCTTTGCCACTACCTCCTTCTTTTCTGAAGGATTCCACTCCAAGTAGGTCCAGCACGGTGAGAGAGCGTTGTCTCCGTCGACCATCCAGCCGAGGTTCTTGTACTTCTCCACCAGGGAGTCGTCCTGAGATACCCTGTCCAGAGCTTCCTGCAGGAGTTTCAGCAGAGCCAGCATCATGATCACCTTGAGGGAGCACGTGACCCGGCCTTGCACATATTGCTCCTGCCAGTTCTCCGCAGTCTCCCGGAGTTTCTGCAAGCAGCCGTGGTCCCCGACATCGCTGAACATGATGAAGGAGGTATCCTGACGAAGTCGACACAATTCCTGATCGTGTCGCAGCGTCATCCGGGTCATCATCTGGAGCAGCACCTGGGTCTGGTGATCGATCGTGCCCGAGGTCGCCGTGTCGTTCTCCGGAGTTTTCCTCTTGGAAGACCATTGGTCCGATTGGCGTCCTTGGCCTTTCGACGCCGGCCTCCTCCATTTCTGGCTCTGTCCTCCGTCCTGAGACCAGTCCTTGGCGTCCTTCCACCAATCGTCCTCCTCCTGGGCTTTCTTGTCCGCCTGGGCTGAAGCCGTAGCCTGACCAGTGATGCCCAGAGCTAGCAGCTCTTGCTGAGCCACCGCTGCACGCTGGCGCTCCTCCGCCTCCGTCTCCATCGGGGCTGCCATGCTGCTCGACCTGATCACGCGAGAGCAACAGCAACTGGGCAAGGGAGGCTTGGTACACCACTGGGCACGCTGCGAGGTGGCGCGACGGCTGTTTAGTGTCTACCCCGCAGTACTTGCACGGCGTCAGTGCCAGGAGCCCAAGCTGTGAGCAGCGAGCCACGGCACGCTTGTGAACAACGTGAGTGTTGGGATGACTCAAGTTTAAACCCCGTGCGCTCAGCCCATTGTCCACACAAGAGGCAGTAGGTCCGCATGCTCTGGCAAAATTTGGGAACACGAAGCACACTCTGCCAGCTTTGTCGTGAAAGTGCTTGAAACTGTGGATCATCAAGCAAATTTGCCGGGAGAGTATCCGCGACTACAGAGGGCTCGGTGTGTGCAAGCACAGGTGCTGAATGCACTGGACGCTCCTGAGGATCAGGGCTCCTAAGCCCTTCCTCCCGAGCAGAGGCCACCTCGACCATCTGTTCGTCGGAGCGCCCTGGTTTTGCAAGCGCTGCATCCGCAGATGCCATTGAAGGTATTTTGCCATGTAATACCGGACATGCCTGCTTGAGGTGCTTTTTAAAGCCTTCAAAACGAGCAAACTTCTTATTGCAGTGCTTGCATTGCGGCATACCCTGGACAGCGTGCATCATGTACGAGAGACTCATGGATTTGGTAGTCTGCATCGTGCTAGCATACTCCTCCTTGTGCTTCCTAGCCATGTGAGAAAGCATGTGCTGTCTATTAATGCAAACAACTCCACACACTGTGCAGGGTACACCAGGGACTCCAGCACGGGTCAGAAACACCTCCTGAGATGGCATTTCTTGTGACGAGGCCCCAGTCAGCTGATCCAGCTGGATCTGAAACCATCTTCGCTCGGTGTCACTGTGCAATGCCAGGCAGCGCTTTCGCAACAGCTTGATCAGCATGCTCACTGGTGAGGGAATACCAAGTCGGGTTCTAAGCTTCTGAGTGGACTCATGATAGAGATGGGCTGGGGATTTCGCAATGGCTCTTATGGCACGCGCATCAGTGGCATCCAGCACTCTCAGCACTGGTAACGTCAGGCCCACGGCATGAAGACCATAGAGCAAAGAACTGACCACGCATGCACGATACAGCCGCACACGCTGGGTCAAGGACAGCAGGCTTGAATGCAAGAGTTTGAGCAGGCGCTGACGGTTCTGCGCCGCTGCCTTCTGTCTGTGCCTAAAAGTCTGCATTTCAAAACCCGTGTAGCTGGCAACCACCCCAAGATAGACTATCTGCGAAACTTGCAAGATGCGAAGCGGCCTGTGTGGCTGTCCCAGGTCAATGAAGGTTCCCTCCGAAGTTTTCTGTGCATGCTTACGCAGCCAGCGGGCGGCAAGGTTTCCCCGCAGTGCGATGACTATCTTGGATTTTTCAGGGTTCACCTGCATCCCACTCTGCTTGAGCAGATCGAAGGTCACCTGGACACATTTGCAGACGAAAGCTAAGTCAGCTTCATCATGCACCTCCCACGATAGATGCTTGTCGTCCGCAAATATTGTCATGAATGCAGCAGCCCATTGTGGCGAGGTAGCTTCGGCAATGCGATCATACAACCAAGCTGTGTACAGGGCATATAAGAGTGGTGACAAGGCGCACCCCTGTCGAACCCCAACCTGCATATCAAAGGAATCACTAAATTGTCCATGCTTGACCTTATATCTACAGGACTCATGTATCGCAAGGACCGCAATGCGTAGCTCTGACGGCACGTCAGCAGCCTGTAGCGCGACTTCTAGGGCTTCACGCCCCAACAGATCGAAGGCTCGACTCAGATCAAGACTTATCATGATGCCACCCGTGCAGGGTTTAAGAGTTACACCAGCACGACGATCATGAGTACTGACAGTGTTGCTCCTAAGCTTTTCCCGAACCCGATGACAATGGCTAGCAACCCGACTGATAGCCTGATCAATGGACTTGTTGGGGCAGTAAGCATATTGCGGTACCCTCTGTAGGCGCTCCTGAACCACAGCAAGCAGGCGAGTGCGAAGAACGATGGCTAGCAGTTTTGCACTAGGGTCCTGAAGTCCTAAGGGTCTAAGATCTTTAGGAAGTCTGGTGGACTTGTGGGGTTTGGGAAGAAGACTAAGATCGCAATCTACCACCTCGGCCGGAAAACTATCGTTCTCCTCGCTTTCTTGAAGCAGCTGCTGCATGAGCTGCGAGAGCTCCGCAGGACACAGTTTCCACATTTCGGCTGGGAGACTACCATGAGGCACTGCTTTACCATTCTTAAGTTGGGAGATAGCAACCCCTACCTCCGCGGCAGTTATGTTGAGTGCTTCCAGGGAGGGGCGCTGGTAGACAGTTGTCCTGCTGAAAGCCCCACTGAAGTACTCGTAAATAGCCTGAAACTCTTGCTTCTGATCCAGCAGCTTGCCGTCCGGCGTGCGAATACGCACCTTCTCGACTCGCTTCTTGGGGGCTAACTGATTTATAATCCTATAAACCTCGGACTGATTTTGTTGTTGGGATGCTTTTTCGGCAAGGATTATCAGCTCTTCGAGGTGCTGCCTCCGGGCAAGTCTACTGGTCTTCTGCAGTGCACGGACGCTGGCTTTGAAGGATGCAAAATGCCTCCAGGCCTGCCAAATTTCGGTGCGATCCGGGGAAGGGCCCATGCTCTTCAGCAGTCTGTGCTGACGCCACATCTCCGCAATGCAACTCTTAACCGCAGGTGCGTCACGGGGTCGAGGGGCAGTGGTGGGGCGATTAGGGTAAAGAGACTTACAGTGGTCCATAACAACCCGATTAAGTTCCGTAAGGCGAGCACTAGGGGTGAGGGCTTCTTGAGTCTGGGCTAGTGCTGAGAGCATGGTCTGACGTAGCCGCTCAGCCTCCGCACCTTCACTTGCTGCAGCACTGCGCAACTGACGCATGGAGCAGCCTCCGGAACCTGCAGGCTTGGCTCGCTTCCATCCCGCCACCCATAGCAAGTTTGCAACCACGGGCCTGTGCTTGGGTCCTCTTCTCCAAGGCATCAGGTCCAGGTGTACCGGGTATGCCCGGCGCGCATCTGGATCCGCAGTAAGACGCCTAGTCATGATAAAATCAAGCTGCGTGCGCACCTGTTGATTACGGAACGTGTGGCACTTACTGGGCGTAGCAGATCCCCAAGAGTTAAGGAGAGTAATGTGGTGAGCTTGCAGTAACGCTTCGAAGTCAGGGTCAGCATGACGCTCAGTTTTAAGAATCCCCCGTCCTATGAGGCCAGGTAGCGGTTTAATGCCTGAATTGACGATATTGACGTCAAAGCCCATGATAAGCAGGTTGCGTACAGGGAGAGCATGTAGGAGGGCGCTGAGCTTATTCCAGAACCCATGCCGAAGTCGTGCAATTGTCTCCTTTCGTCGCTCCTGCCAAACATGCTGATAACCCGCAACCAGATCCAAGGTGACCTTGGGAAGGACGCAACGGGCGTGCAGAAGACGCCCAGGTATCAGCGTGTTGTATGTAAGCTGAGCCGAAGCAGCAACCCGTGACGATATGAAGATGCCTACCCCACTGTATCTGCACGCAGGGTCAGGACTTATAATCGCCTGCCATGTGCCAATCGGCCAGCTAGCTTCTTGCTTGCCACATCCCCAGTGTAGTTCCTGTGCGAAAACAATGTCCACATCGTGCCGTTTCTGTAACCAGTCGCAGAAAACATCGTACGAGGCAGGATCCAAACCACCCAGATTATATGTCATGGTACGGATACGCGGTCGATGCGGTGCAGCCCGCTGGTTTGATCTCACCATGCCATTGCTGTCCTGAGTATTGGATACATTTCCACGCAGCTCAGTTCCCAGTGATCGCGCTGTTCTCCATTCTCCACGGTACCATGTGGCACCGTTTACCTCCGCTCGACGTCTGGCACGTCGATATGCTCGTTTTCGTACGTTACTCATCGGAGCAGCCTTCGCTTCTCCATATCCAGGGTTTTTCATCTCAGAAGAGATTTCAGTACCAGTTGTGGGACACGGTACAACCCTCGGGTCTGCTGACATGTGTGCTCGTAGCAATGGTGGAGTAGTCATCGTCAGCCACGGGAATTGGGACCCGTGCAGCCAGAGAAGGCAGTTAGAGCGGAAATCGTGAATCAAAAACAGTACCAGCAGCCAGCTTGGAACAATCGCCATGAACCCTCGCAGGACTGCGCCCTAACTCACCTTCACGCTCCAGCCGAGACCCTTAGGTGGTAGTAGTAATAGTAGTAGTAGTAGTAGTAGTAGTAGTAGTAGTCGTCGTCGTCGTCGTAGTAGTAGTAGTAGTAGTAGTAGGAGCAGCAGCAGTCGCAGTCGCAGTCGCCGTCGCAGTCACAGTCGCAGCCGCAGTCGCAGTAGCAGTAGCAGTAGCCGTAGAAGTAGCAGCAGTAGCAGAAGCAGGAGCAGGAGAAGGAGCAGCAGCAGCATCAGCAGCAGATGCAGCAGCAGTAGTAGTAGCAGCAGCAGCAGTAGCAGTAGCAGCGGTAGCAGTAGCAGTAGCTGTAGCTGTAGCAGTAGCAGCACCGCCACTGTGTTTAATGCGTGCAAGTTTGCTTTCAGGAACATCGTACCAACAAGACCAGAACCCACATGAATCCTTTCTGGAACCCGTCATGCAGGCATCGTTGCGGCCCCACCAACCCTTCCTCCGCTATTTCAAGCCATGTAAGCTTGCTTTCAGCAGCATCTTACTGCCAACAAGAGCGCCCATATGTGAACCCTCCAGAAATCCCTCGTGCGGCGTTGTGTTTGCAAATGGAAAGTGCTACGGCCCCCTCAAGCCCCCTTCCTTCCAGCATGCAAGCTTGCTTCCAACAGCGCGGCGTCATCAAGAAGACATGCGTCAGCTGAACCCATCATGTACGTTTTGAAAAAGGTCCTAAAGCGTTGTACTGTGTGAGCATGCAAAGCGAAACAGAAAGAACATCAAACAGTGAGATAAAAAGAAAACGTACTACTACTGGCGTACTACTCCCACTGCCACTACCAGTACTACCAGTGGTAGTCGTAGTAGTAGTAGTAGTAGTAGTAGTAGTAGTAGTAGTAGTAGTACTACTACTACTACTACTACTACTACGACTACTGCAGTTCTTACTAGAACGTTTGCTAATCTTTCATTTACTACTACTATACTACTACTGATACTACTACTTCTACTACTCCTGCTACTACTACTTCTACTACTGCTACTGCTACTACTGCTACTACTACTACTACTACTGCTACTACTACTACTACTGCTACTACTACTACTACGACTCCTCCTCCTGCACTGCTACTACACTACTACGACGACGACTACTGCTACTACTACTACTACTACTACTACTACTACAGAAAGGGCTACCATGGGGCCTGCGTTTGGGACACATCACGTTTCGCGGTTTCGCAGCGATTTGTTTCACATCATCTTGCTATCCTATGCTTGTATAAACAGTTCTGGGTTATTTACTGTATTGTTCGTACTTGTAGACATTTATGTCGCTTATCAATAATGTTGTTGTTTATAAGCAGGGCCTGTGTTTATAAACAGTGTCTGTGTTTATAAGCATGGCTTGTGTTTATAACCAGGGCTGGCGTTTACAAACTAAGATGAAAGAGGGGGGGGGGGAGGGGGGGGGGCTGAGGGTTTGGGGCTGACATGTTGAGACCTGCTAACCCCCTCCCCCCCCCCCCCCCCCCCCCCTCCCCCCTCTCCTCTCTCTACTGCGTCCCGTCCCCACCCCCAACCCCAATCCCACTCACCATGCACATAACACACCAAAAACAAAGCGCGCGCTGGCACAATTTCCACAAACTTTACCACTTTGTCTATCCTCCTTGGAAGAACACGTCGAGTTGCTGTATTTCTCGCACACAACACAACTTCGTTCGCCGATGTTGTGAAAACGCTGGTAATTACAATGTCTTTTTGCGTCTGAAGTGTATGAGTTTATGCTTTGTGAACAAGTTGTATAGCATCACCCTTCCCTGTCTATGAACAAATGGTTTGTTCAGGGCACGTGAGCTGCTTACAGAAGTGCTGTATCTTCTCACGGTTCACAGGGTCTCGGCTGTACACAGACCGTCGCGATGTACACATCAAGGACAGTCGTAAGGATGGAAGGCGGTTTAGGGTTTAGGGACCAGAAAGAACCCTCAAAGCCTTATTTTGACATTCCATCATAGTTTCACTCTTCAATAGAAGCTAAATTCTGGCAATATCCGACATTGCTACTGCCAGCACTACAGCAGTTTTTGTTGGGAAATTGCGTTCTTTACTTCGAGATCAGCTTATGTGACTTATGTGACACTGATGTATTGTATGTATGTCATAATGCAAGGCTTCCGAGCCTTTGCTTCCTGGATATGACGATATACACTGTGTGTGCTGTTGTGTTTCGCTGATTTCCGCTATTCGCTTGCCTTGTGCTGTTGATTTCGACGAACGTGGTGATACATCCATATTTTGAAAAATTGTGGATCTCGACAAAAACGCATCTTCGACTGGGAAAACCATGATGCAGAGTGTATGCGAGTTGAGGACCGTGTTAATGTGAAAGTGGTGGGGTGGCAACTGGGAAAACAACTGTTCAAGGGTCATCGCAACCTAAATCACATGAACCGAACAGAAAGCTATGTATTGCTGTGAAACTGGAAGGCCCTAGGCTCCAAATACGTAGCACTGCGTTACAATAGAAACTAAATCTAAAACACACTACTCACTGATTTGTGTACATACAGGCAGTGTGCACCCCTGACACAATGTGTGTTGTAGCACTGCATAAAACATACTATGTATGTACATGCTCCCAGTTTGCAGCAGTAAATTCCTGCGATTGTCAGCATTGTTGTATACTGTTGTGAAGCCCCGCATAGGTAGGTAATACTGCAATCTTCAAACTGGGAAGAAAGTGGAAACTCACGGACATGTGCCAACTCAACACACAAGGAAATCAGAACACGGCGGGCGACACGGCTCCAAAGATTTTCGAGAGTCCAAGTTGTGGAAACAAATGCACGGTGCGTGAAATACTTTGTCTTCTTTCGTTTCGCTCGGATGTGGCCGGGTGTCCACTGCGTACAGGGTGCCATAATTAGCGATTATTATTCGTACCATGACCATGCAAGCACATAAACAGTGCATGTGCTCATGTAAGTTTAGCTGTGGAATATATACATGTGCACGTGTATTCGAGTGTATGCATTTTATATGTTCATAGGCCCTCATGGCCTTTTACAAGCAATTGCAACCACACACACACATGTATAAATACATACATACATATATATATATATATACATACGTACGTACATATATGCACATGCATAGGTGCTTCGTATAATGCTAAAACGCCAAAGACGCCCAAAAACATAAAATGCAAAACCCAGGCCCCATGACAGCCCGCTCTCTACTACTACTACTACTACTAGCCACCCCACCTCCTACCAACCACCTGTCGCTTGAATCGTGGGGCAAACAGGGAGCAGTACGGATGAACACTCATTAACCGCGAAGACAATACGGGCCGAAGCAGCTAACTGTATGCAGGAAAACGGACGCTCTAAACCGCTCAACATCATTGCGTGGGCGCTTCGCCAAACCCTGGTTGGCAGGGGTCCGAATTCTACCACTACCGCTGCCACTACAACTATCGCTACTCCTACTACTCTCCTGCAACTCCTACTCCCACTCCTACTCCTACTCCTACACCTGATCATCTTCATCATCATCATCCTCATAATCATTACCCTTATCATCATCCTCATAATCCTCATCAGCATCAACATAAGCCCAATCAAGTACTTGGTTCGAAGTTGGCTAAACTACAATTTTAAAAACTATTAAAAACCCAGCATTTTTCACATTCGACCACTCAAAGCTACCAGGTGCCAGGAGTTGCGGAACCCTAGTAGTAGTAGTAGTAGTAGTAGTAGTAGTAGTAGTAGTAGTAGTAGTAGTAGTAGGAGTAGGAGTAGGAGTAGGAGTAGGAGTAGGAGTAGGAGTAGGAGTAGGAGTAGGAGTAGGAGTAGGAGTAGGAGTAGGAGTAGGAGTAGGAGTAGGAGTAGGAGTAGGAGTAGGAGTAGGAGTAGGAGGATGCTGAAGATGGTGAGGATGATGGTTATGAAGATGATGGTGAAGATGCTCAGGTTAATGTTCATGTCACTGTCTTTGGCGATCATGCCCAAAACACACAAGTATTTACAGCCTTTTTTGCTCTTTGTGCAACATGCTGCACAAAAACAATGTCACAAGCATCCTACTACGGCTACTGCTACCGGCACTACTGCGTAAGTGCTTGCGGTCACCCATGTCGTTATTAGCCCCCACCCCACCCCCCCCCGGCACCACCACATGGGCAAGTCCCGCTACGAATAGCTGCAAACTTGCGACCTACTCAACTTGTCAAGAGAATGGTGCACCAGTGCACGTTTCACTCGATCAAAAGAGTGCAAAAATCAAATAAGTAGAAAGCGAGGACGTAAGAACGTGAAAAAAAGTCGTAGAGCTATTGACATCGCTACAGCCATCTGTTATGGCATCTTGCGTTGATCATTGTGTTTCTCTGTACAGAAGTGTAATCCTGCGAACTGCAGTGGCCCCAGGAGGGCACACTGAGGACCACGTTCAGCACCCGGTAGTCCTGTGAACTGCAAGTGGCCTTTGGAGCACAGCTTTCTCGCACTTGCTAACTGTGACCTGGAGGGACGTAGCGTCAGAGCCCAGACCACATCTCGAAGCATACGTGGGGCCGGGATCTGGTGCGGGCCATCCCATCCCAGGATGGGGTAGGTTGCCGCCGCCGGCTTTCGGTCAGCATTCGGGACAAGGCAGCGATGATCTGCAGCTACACACTCCTCGGGTACCTGAAGGAAACGAAAGGTGCATAGGTACAAGGGTTGCGCTTGGCCATGTCGAATAGCTCTATTGCAAGCTCGCACAA